GTAGAACCACCTCTTAATTGCTGGTGTTCCCAGGTCCACCCTGACCCGGAGTGGTAGCACTTGTTAGGGTCCCAGCTATGGGCAGATAGTAACTATTACCAGCAATATTTTTTTGAAAAATATTATTGCAAGCAATACAATTTTGAAGGAAATATATTACCAGAAACAGATTTTTGACAAAACAAAATATTACCAGCAATAAAAATTATTGTCAGCATTAAATAACCCATTGAGAATGATATGCCGTAAAGCAAAACAAACCAAATCAATATATACTGAAATAGATAGATAGATAGATAGATAGATAGCTAGATAGATAGATAGATAATATTACCACCAATAAAAAATGTTGTCGGCATTAAATAAGCCATTGAGGTTGATATGCCGTAAAACAAAATAAACCAAACAAATCTAAACCAAAGAATATATATTCTATTCATACGAATCTATCCTAAAAATGTTGTCGGCATTAAATAAGCCATTGAGGTTGATATGCCGGAAAACAAAATAAACCAAACCAATCTAAACCAAAGAATATATATTCTATTCATACGAATCTATCCTAAAAATGTTGTCGGCATTAAATAACCCATCGAGGTTGATATGCCGTAAAACAAAATAAACCAAACCAATCTAAACCAAAGAATATATATTCTATTCATACGAATCTATCCTAAAAATGTTGTCGGCATTAAATAACCCATTGAGGTTGATATGTCGTAAAACAAAATAAACTAAACCAATCTAAATCAAAGAATACATATTCTATTCATACGAATCTATCCTAAAAATGTTGTCGGCATTAAATAAGCCATTGAGGTTGATATGCCGTAAAGCAAAATAAACCAAATCAATATATACTGAAATAGATAGATAGATAGATAGATAGATAATATTACCACCAATAAAAAATGTTGTCGGCATTAAATAACCCTTGGAGTTTGATATGCCGTAAAACAAAATAAACCAAACCAAACCAAAGCCTACACTTATCCGATTCTGTCATTCTTATGTTATTATAATTACGCCTATTCGGGCTAATGCTTTCCGATGACGTGAATTGGAAAAATTACATTGAATCAATTGATCGGTCTGCTTTTGGTTCAATAGGTCGTGCCAGGAGTCTTTTCTTTCTTTCGACGGAATCCATCCTGCGTAAAATTTACCGTTCGCCCGTTCATTGAAATCAATATATCTTGTTCCCCAGTGATGAAATAGAGATCCGGTTCTATAGATTGATGACAACTGGTCTACCGCAGAAATGGCAAATGCGGGGAAAGAATCTGCCTCGTAAGTCATGTATCGAAAGATACATGATCGCTAAACGTGTATCACGCATGGAAAGAACGTGCTAATACCCTTGGGAAAGGTACGAATCCTCTTCTTCTCCCCCACCCAGATGGGTAAATCAGACTAAGTTCTATCTTGGATGAAAGATACAGAAAGAAATGGCAACCTACTGCGGGGAAAGAATCTGCCTCCTGAGTCATGTATCGAAAGATACATGATCGCCTAAGCATGGCACATAACTGACTGACTGACGTGCTAATACCCTTGGGAAAGGTATGAATCCTCTTCTTCTCCCCTCACCCAGCTATGGGTAAATAGCAGGACACACTAAGTTCTATAGCCTTGGATAGATAGATAGATAGATAGATAGATAGATAGATAGATAGATAGATAATATTACCAGCAATAAAAAATGTTGACTGGTCTTGTCTGGTCTGCTACTCTGGCTATATATCTCGAGATTCTTGGCAAAATTCAAAGAAGGGTCTGTTATATTATAGGTCCAGACCTGGCATCTCAACTTCAGTCACTTTCCAACGAACTTGAGCAACTCTATGATATACATTTACAACATAAATTAACATTTAATTTAATTCATCAATTTATTATTATTATTATTATTATTATCATTATCATTATTATTATTATTATTATCATTATTATTATCATTATTATCATTATTATTATTATTATTATCATAATTATTATTATTATTATCATTATTATTATTATTCTTTTTATTTTCTTTGATTTCTGGCGTTTACACATTTCTTTCCGGGTTCCACCCAGGGACCTAAGGTTAGAAATGGCGTCATGACACTTTCCACTGACAAAAAAAAAAAAAATAAATAAATTAAATTACATAGATAAAGCCCTTCGTAAGGGGTGGGCTGTACTTGTCAGAACAATTTTTTGTATCTCCTTGAGGCATGGACTTCCAGGAATCCCTTCAATTAGTCTACTGGAATCTTTTCCAACCAGTCCTAGGGCTCCAACTACAACAGGGATTGTTGATGTTCCCATATACCACATTTTCGAGATTTCTATTTCAAGGTCCTTGTACTTTGACAACTTTTTGAATATCTTCAAAGATACATTGCAGTCGGCAGGGACTTTATTATTATTATTATTATTATTATTTTTATCATTATTATTATTATTATCATTATTATTATTATTATTATCATTATTATTATTATTATTACTGAAATTTGCGCGGAAATGGTTTCAAGCAACAGAAATAATTTTAATTTGACTTTCAAGCAAGTACTTTCCGCAAAATTGTTGCGTGTCTTCAGACAGATTTTTTTTCGAGTGGGTGGGTTGTTTCCTTGTAACATTCTTATAAAGTTTGCGATTCTGATGGTAACAAGGTGTTTATGGAGATTCTTTGGAATAAGTCCAAAGATTTCAATAACATTTGGCACAACCTTGCCGGGTACATTCCCCACACACTTTCAGCATCCACCCTCAATACTGAATAGTTCGCAATCTTTTCCATGAGTTTCACACGCTTACTTTCCGTTTTCCTTTTTTTTCTTTTTTTTTTTTACCACTTGCCGGATGTCTGGAATCCATACCTCCGGCACAAACACCAATGGAGATGCAAACACTATTTATCACGGTGTCTTTTGTATTCTCTCATTTTAAGCATTTTACAGGCAATTATGATGTGATGATCTTCTCCCCATCAGCAACCTACACTTAACCAGTTCTGGCATTTTTATATTATTCTTGTGAAAGATTATATTGAATCAATTGCTAGATCTGCTGCTAGGAAAGTTGGTTCACTGTGTCGTGCAAAGACAATTTTCACGCTAGACTCTGTTGGGTTATAAATGGCGATGATCTCCCTTCCATTGAGATAGTCACAAGGATCACGTGACGGCCGATGAATGACGTCAGGAGGGAGATTAACGAGACCAGTTATCATGTAGAGCCCAGAGACGAAGGACGTCTTTGGGCCACAGAGGTAGGTTTTACAGGAAAAATCACATGGCCTAGCCCAGTTCGTAGAGAAGCAGCCGTAACCCAAGTTTTCCCTCCGGAAAATATAACAAGGTGCCCCTTTCTAACACAATGTTTGTTGAGACGTATGTTATAATTTCTATGCGTGGGACACTTGTATATATGTATATATCTAATTTTGTGTACGACGTAGCATTATAAACCTCTCTGTGAACTAAACATGTGTGTTATTCTTTTTCCATTCGGTTATTCTGTTCGGGAAATATCGGTGTTCCTTTCTACGCTTCATTACAAACTATTTGAGCAGCTTGACAGAGAGCACATTTTTTTAATTAAGATTTCTCAAATGCACAGATAGACGTAATACAAAGAATAAAATAAGGACATCTATTTAAAATACGAGTATCTGCTATAATAATGTTGGATCAGAAATAAATAAATTAATTCTTTTGGAAAATATATATATATATATATATATATATATATATATATATATATATATATAATTATTTATTTAAAAAAATTTATAACATAAATATGTTATAAAATCACTACAAAAATAGCCATTTTGTTTCAACACTCTCAGTGTCTTATCAAGTGATGATGTTGAATGTAAAATAAATGGTTTTAAAAGTTTCGAATTAATTAACAATCCTTCACAAGGGGAAAACGTTGTTACAAAAGCTATATATATATATATTGTGGTGTACTCCCTCTAAAGAGTCAATGTTGGACTCTTCCGCCTAGTATAAGATTACTAGGTGTGAAAGACTTGGGGAACAGTCAAGATGTTGTAACCAAATAAATGGTTAAAGAAATAACAAACAAGTGTTGCAAATATATTATATATTAAACAGTAAGTACAACAGAAGTGTATTACACTAGTGAGTGTGTGTCAATTGACCTAGCGTTTAATCTATTCGACTGTTCCTCCAAGGCCTTCTCTCCTACTAAACTTATAGTAGGCGGAAGAGTCCAACGTAGACTCTTTAGAGGGAGGACATCACAACAACAATATATATATATATATATATATATATATATATATATATATATATATATATTAAAAACGACAGACAAGGTACTACGATTAAGCTTTTTATTTAATTTTTCTTGTCTTCGAAAAAAGTGCTTTCTTTTATCGACACAGAGCGTGTAGAACTGTCCAAATGTTTTATAATTCCAAGCGCTTTCGACTATACTTTTATCCATTATCAAAGATGATTTCATTTATTCAGTTTCATTGGTAGTGGGGTGCCTTGTGTGTATGTTTTTAGTGTTATAGAGATGTTTTATTTTCCGAACACAGTTAAGCGTATGTTATAATTTATTTGCGTGGGACACTTGTATAAATGTATATATCTAATATTGTGTACGACGTAGCATTATAAACCTCTTTGTGAAATAAACATGTGTGTTATTCTTTTTCCATTCAGCTATTTTGTTCTGTTCGTGAAATATCGGTGTTGTTATATAATGGATATAGCAATGCCCATGATGAGAGAAACATTCGGGAAAATAAATATTTATTTCTCGCGCTCTCGTTCCAACTCTATCATATACATTTACTAGCAGCCATACCCAGCTAGTCGATCAGAAAAAGCATTCAATTAGAATGGAGCAGAAACAGCATCATGTTTAGATGTAACAGAATCTATCTTCTTCAACTACTTTAAAGTAATTTCATTAAAAACATTTTGAATTAATACAGTTACTGATATAACAGAAGTAGTCTATATTTATTTTGAAGTTTTTGAAATTAAATTTGTCAGTGTGCTAGCAGGGATGTAAAAGAGGATACATTTATAAAGCAATTGCTTTGATGAAAATTGGTTGAAAGATCAACGAAAAATAAGAAAGAAACCAGTAAAAATCACCATTTTTCTTTATTTATGTGGGATTTCACTATATGGATGGGCTGAATTATCAAGTTAAATGACTGTTAAAACAATTTATTGTTGGCTACAATTGAGTGAAGTTTGTATTAGATTGCTTGAAAATTGAGTGAATCTTTAGTTTAAAATTTGTGTTGAAATCGATTTTTCGTTTTTCGCGATTTTTCGCTAAACGCAGTGGTGTGGAAATAAAAACGAGGTATTGTTGAGCTCGTCATGATGTAAGTAACCTACATACCGAATTTGAACGAAATCGGAGGAAAAAGTTGAATTTATCGATTTTTTGATCGACTTCATCGATTATTGATTTTAAAAATATCGATTTTTACGCTTATGACCCTATCACTTACATTGTACAAATTTGGTCAAAATCAGTTGGATGGATCTCGTGTGAAAAGGTATCACACAGACTGACAGACAGACACACAGACATTCTCCGTTATATATATAGTTAAGTCTACCATTCGTCCTTGCATCGAATCTTGCTACCACATCTGGTCTTGTACTTCTTGTATTTAGTGATTATATATATATATATATATATATATATATATATAAACAAAAAAAACAATAAAATAACATTGAAGAATTTGCAATGTTACATCTCGGCTTCAGTCACTTCCCCAGCGCCATAACGTAGCTTACCTGTGCCTTCGTTATGTACATTGCCTATTTTCTCAAGGTCTACCCTCAACTATGAGTAGTCTACAATCGTTTCAGCTTGTTTACCTTCAATATGCTCACCCCCGGGGCATGCCACATCTATCAACAGGCACTCATGAAAACATTTTACGATCTATGTCATGGTGGTGAGTCAGTCTGAAGTGTCAAGCTCGACAGACGTTTGATGTGTTCATTTGCCAGTTCCTTTACAGAAATTCTCAACCGGGTTCCATATGGACAAGTATATATATATATATATATATATATATATATATATATATATATGTACGTTTGCTTGGGATAGTAATTCTGTCAGGAAAGGCGATAAAAGGAAAAAGCAAACGTACACAACTGCATCAAGAAGTCAAAACAAAATGGTTGAATCCGTCGACACAACAATAAAAACAATATTTCCACACGTGACAGTACTTGATGTAATTTTCAGTTATAGCGTTTTCTAAATTCTTCCAGTTGTTAAGGACATTTTGTTTTGTTGTTAATAGTTACTTTGTTTTAATAAATTCATTTCGTTTTTACCTTGAAAAAGTCCACATTGGACGAAACGCATCGGCTAACATTACAGTTTTCCAATTGTTTTTTTTTTACCTTTATAAATATTGTCTTTTTCCACGGGTTAACACTGAGAAATTTTTCACACACACACACACACACACACACACACACACACACACACACACACACACACACACACACACACATATGAAGAAAAATATACTGAAAAAACAAACAAAAATCCTAATATGCGATTATGCTGTTTTAATGTTTAATGTCAACGTCGGACGTTTCGGTCTAACAGACCATCTTCAGGACATATTCATAAAACATAATTAACATAGACCATATACAATTCAACATGAAAAAGACGATGGACATAAGAGCAATACCAATCCAAACAGATAACTGAAATCTTTTATAAGATCAGCGTTCCGTTCAACTTTTCTTCATACTGTCGGATCTATATCCATATATTTGCTTACACACACACACGCACATATATATATATATTTAAAAGAAAGCTTAATATAAATAAGATATAAAATGATCAATGTTATGTCTGGACTAGTGAGTCAGTCTAAAGTGTCAAGCTCGATAGACATTTCACGTACTCATTCATCAGTTCCTTTTCAGGGGTTCTCAACCGGGGTCCATATGGACAAGTAACATTACTGGAATCCACACACACCAAAAAAAAAAAAAAAGTAGCAAATTAAGGGTCCTCGATAATATTTTAGTGATCCATAGAGCAATTTTACTTCGGAACGGTCCCGGAAGCCACGAATTAAGTCGAAAAATGACTTAAGTCGAGATAACCACACTATAAACCGCAAAGAAGCACCTTCCATTGCCTAGTACGGTATTTATGTACATACAGAATTCCGAATAAAATAATTCATTTCCACCTAATCTTCCAGCGATATCGCCTTACGTTTAGCATTAGCACTCGCACTGGGACTTTTCTTCGGAGACATATGCAAAAATGTGTTCTAAATCACAGTTGAAATGTAACTGAAAGAACGTCAACGGCAGAGCACAGATGTAAACAAGTCTGAATTCAAAATCGAACTTGGAGCGCAAAATAATCCACGAGTATAGGAATCTGTCGGCAGGAATCTGAAATAAGAAAGTCTGTTGAACATAATTTATTATGCTTTTTTTGTTTTTGATGATTTTATTGTATATATAGCGAAATGAATAAAAATGACAATACAAAGGAAAACTGGAAAATACGATTTTTTTTGTCCTTTTTGGCTTTTATCAAAGCAAAATACACATTGGGCGATTTTTTTTTTTGCTTTTTACCAGTTTTCCTATTGTCATTTTTTATTCATAAATATTGTCTTCTCTGCTGGTTAAATCGGAGAAATTTTCATATATATATATATATATATATATATATATATATTATAATTTTATCATATAGACAAAACTATTTTACTCACTACAAAGATGCAACTTGGTTTCAGTGCATTTCAACTGCACTTCGACGGGTGAGAATCGAAAATGGTTATGAAAAATCCTGCTTGTAGGCAAGCCATATGTGAAACGTCACTTCCTGCTTTCATTTGTTTGAGAAGAAAAATATCTTTGTAGTGAATAAAATAGTTTTGTCTGTATGATAAAATTATAATAAATAAATAATTATCGCTCTACTATCGGTATCGAGCCCTCTTTTGGATTAATGCTGTGAGCGTTGGAATTTATATATTACTTTCGTTCTCATCGCATCGGATATATATATATATATATATATATATATATATATATATATATCATTGAATAAATCTGTACTATTTTAAAATTTATTAATTACTCATGTAGTTTAAAATGGTTTATTCTGAGTTTTTTTACTAGTGTACATAAATATTCCATAGAATTTAGTTGTTAAATAAAAGTTTAATTTCATTAATTTAGTTTTATTTCGTAATAAAGCATATATATTTACTATTTCTATAATACAATTCCTAAAATTATCTATTAGTAAAAAAATAAAATATTTTTTATTGAATGGTTATGGGGTGGGGGTATACCAAAAAAAAAAAAAAAAGAATCAGAGTAAAAGTGGTCCATGTGTAAAACAAAAAAGAGGTTAAGAACCACCGCTTTCCCACTTGCCGGAAGTTTGAAATCCATACTTCCGGCACCAGCATTGATGTAAATGCAAAAAACACTTTTTTACGACGTCTTGTATAGGGCCGTGTTGTGTTTGCGTGTAGTTGTATTAGAAACACGTGTTTAACTCCTGGTAGAATATTAAAAGGTCCAACTACAAGAAAATGGCCGGACTTGAATTAAGTTCAACTGAAGATGTAAAATTCATCGAGTCTGATAGAAACCTCAACAGAATGCAGAAAGCCGTTTCGTCCTATATTTGGGACTCACCAGCATTGCGAATCCACTACCGAGAATTGAAACCCCGACAGCTACATTGTCAAGCAAACATCACACCAACTGTTCTAATAGGCCTCGGTGACGAAGAGATTGCAAATCAGACTCAATATAGCGCCGCTCGCTGACCTATTCTGTGGTGGAACCATACTGCGTTCTCTGTAACCATAGGACTGTGCCCCCTGGAGCCACGACTACTCTCACCAAGCCGCTCACTCTAGAGTATTAGAAGCCGGTTCAAGCGATGGTATACACAGATAGTAACTATTAGGATTATATTTAATTAATTCATCGATCTGATAGAAACCTCAACAGAATGCAGAAAGCACTGGACGGCCGTTTTGTCCTATATTTTTCATCAGTGCGCATGGACACCGAGATTTGGCAGTTAGGTTGTCATGCAAACATCATGGTAAACTCGGTGACGAAGAGATTGTAAAACCAGTCTATTATAGCGCCGCTCGAATATTTCGGGGTGGAACCAAATGTAACCATAGGACTGTGCCCCATGAGCCACGATTACTATCTGTGTAAATATAATTAATTCCTGAATAATATATATATATAATATATATATATATATATATATATATATATAAACAAATATATGTACTAAACAATTTTACAATGGACAATAACATTTGTGTGTGTGTGTAAACATTGGTGTCTGTTCTTTGGTGAATGTTCGTACGTACGTGTAAGTGTGTTCATGGCGTCTCCCACAAATGGGAAAACGCGGATCTTCTAAGAGAGCTTACATTGTAGTCGCTGAAATGAAGAAATGAAAAAGCGAACGAGGCGAGAAGTCTCTCAGTATTTATAGTATAGGGAAAGTGACCCCTAGTGACAATTTGGGAATTAAGGAGGAGCTAACTCCGACAGTCTCTTGTACTCCCTCTGCGTAAGCATTTTACAATTATTTAAAATATGCCTAACATTTTTCTGTCATATGGTAAATGTGTTTTTGATTTTGTAATTCTACGAAACTTAAGGAGAAGCAAGATAAGTCAACACTTTAACTTTATTTATTAATTTATTATTATATCCTATTATAAATTTCCTTGCCCTTCTCATCGATAGTTCGCACGACCGATGCGTCCTGCCAATGCCTTATAAATAATGGACTATTCTGTTTTGATCACGTGGAAATATCAGGGAGCTTGGCGAATTTAATACTCACGCGATATATTGTAGTCAAGAAAGACAAAAGGAAACACCCAGTGACCAACCTAACATGAATTGCACACCGATAACAAAAAGATGGGTGGACAAACGTTGCTTAACGTTACAAGGAATGGAAGCTATGGAGAGCCATGATCGCCAATGTATAAAAGAAGAACCTTTGTAATTATAAAGACCGCTATGGTGTAATGGCTAATGAATTAATGTCATAAGCCAATCCTATTAGAATGAGTTCGATCCTCACTGGGTGCGTTATATGTGCTGCACTTCTTACTTCAAACGGTGGGATTAAAAAAGATAGGCTTAATCTGCAGACATCAGGGCGTGCCTCTGATCCTTAATCTTTTTAGTGTATATATGGGTGGAGAGAGATTCCTGTTTGTCATGCGAGATATGTTTTTTTTTTCTAAGTTTCGGAAATATATCAGAATTACAAGAATGTAAAGAAGAAGAAGAAGAAGAAGAAGAAGAAGAAGAAGAAGAAGAAAAGAAAAGAATTGTCACACCAACGCAAATCACTTTAAAAAAGAAATACCAACGCCCATAAAAAATAATTTTGTTTTTGTCTACCTGCCTCTCTTTCTTTCTTTTGCTCTTTCTTTCTTTCTTTCTTTCTTTTTGGCTCGCACACACACATATACACATGCATAAGGAAATCAACTATTTGGCGCCAGGGTTATTTTATTTATAGGAATCTACTGACGTCACGAAGTAATCGGTGTTGGTTGCCGTGTGCAAAATGACACACATATTTCTTTCTAACTTTCATTCTTTTTTTTCTTTCCTTACGTCTTTCTTTCTTTTTTTTTGCTTTTTTTTAAGCATTTCTTTACTTTCTTTTCTTTTTATTCTTTTTACCTTGCTTGTTTTTTTTTTTATACAGTCTTGATTGCAATTGTTTTCTTTCTTTCTTTTTTATTCTTTCGTCTTGAAAATCTTTTTCTCCCCTTTTTTTTTTTCCTTTTTTTTCTTATTCTTTCTTGCTTGGAATCGTTCTTTCTTTCTTTTGCTCTTTCTTTCTTTCCTTTTTATTCTTTCTTGCTTGCAATTGGTTTCTTCCTTCTTTTTTCTTTCTTTCTTATTTTTTCTTGCTTGGAATCGTTCTTTCTTTCTTTCTTTTGCTCTTTCTTTCTTTCTTTCTTTCTTTCTTTCTTTCTTTCTTTCTTTCTTTCTATCCAGATTTCATTGTTTCTTTCCTTCTCTTTTATTTTTACAATTTCTTTCATTCTTTCTTTCTATTTTTTAATTCTTTCTTTCACTCCACATTTGTTTGATTCTTCCCCACCCATAATTTTAACCATTTCTTTTTTTCTTTCTTTCTTTCTTTCTTTCTTTCTTCTTTCTTTCTTTCTTTCTATCCAGATTTCATTGTTTCTTTCTTTCTTTCTTTCTTTCTTTCTTTCTTTCTTTCTTTCTTTGATCCACTTCTTTCTTTCTTTCTTTCTTTCTTTCTTTCTTTCTTTCTTTCTTTCTTTCTATCCAGATTTCATTGTTTCTTTCTTTCTTTTTAATTATAACAATTTCTTTCATTCTTTCTTTCTATTTTTAATTCTTTCTTTCACCCCACATTTGTTTGTTTCTTCCCCACAAAATTTTAACCATTTCTTTCTTTCTTTCTTTCTTTCTTTCTTTCTTTCTTTTTTCCTTTATTTATTTATTTTTTCTTTCTTTTTTTTCCTTTCTTTATTTCTTCCCACATTTGTTTGTGTCTTTCTTTTCCTTTAATTTTGGCCATTTCTCCATTCTTTCATCTTTCTTTCCTTTTTCCTTTAATTTTATACATTTTTCTTTCTTTCTTTCTTTCTTTCTTTCTTTCTGTTTTCCTTTCTTTCCACATTTGTTTTGCCTTTCTTTACCTTTAATTTTGACCATTCCTTCGTTCTTTCTTTCTTTCTTTCTTTCTTTCTTTCTTTCTTTCTTTCTTTCTACCAACCAGTGCTTAGAATAAAATATACAGTTTACGTGAACAAGAAAGTTTTAAAAAAAGGAATTAGGAGAAAATTTACAATCAGAAAGAGACTGTTGAACAGAGGAAAGAAAGCCTAGAGATTTTAACACTCACAGGACAGTGAAGGGTGAGAGAAGCAGGGGGAAGCATCGAGTCGCCTACTTAACGAGTTTGCGTGAATGGATGCCAAAACACGGACAAATCGGAATGGTAAAGAGCCAACCAAAAACAGGAAGTTATGGAGAGACATGATTTCCCATGTCTTGAAGGGACACAAGATTTTCGACTCTGATTAACATTGTATTGTATGTTCCCCTCAAGCAAGGCAATAAAGCCACTAAGACACAAAGGATTACTGGGTGTGACAGAATTAGAAAACAGAAACATTATTAAGGAGCGGGAACAAAGGAAAAGTAATCAAGAGGACAGTAGATAGCGATTGATATTGCATTTAAAGTTTTGCAGATTAAAGTTCGTTGGAAAGCATGGAACCGGAAGAGAGTTCCACAAGCGAGAAGTGCGAGAAAGAATCTGTTAGGATAAAACTTCTTTCTTTCTTTCTTTCTTTTATAATCCTGGGTATAACGATAAACTACATCCGGCAGCAAGGCCTTTAATCGGGAGATCGGAGGTTTTCAGGAGCGCGGAATCGCCTCTTAATTGATGATGTTCCTAAGTACGCCCTGACCCTGAAGAAGAAGAAGAAGAAGAAGAAGAAGAAGAAGAAGAAGAAGACGAGGAAGAAGAAGGAAAAATGAGAAAAAGAAGAAGGAAACGGAGAAGAAGAAAGAGTAGAAGAAGAAGAAGAAGGAAAAGGAGAAAAAAGACAAGAAGAAGAAGAAGAAGAAGAAGAAGAAGAAGAAGAAGAAGGACAAGAAGTAGGAGGAGACGAGCAAGAAGAAGATGGAAAAGGAGAAAATAACGAAAATCAGGGAAATTGAAAGAAAGAGAACATATTGATTCTCTTTTTTACGACTTATCAACCTTTCGTAAGTTATTTAAAGTCATCATATATTTTGGGGATTGTAAGTATAATTTTTTTTTTTTTTTTGCGAGTGAATATTGCATTAACGATTTCTTTTGGAGATAACAATGATTTTTCAAGACACAATTCCTATTATTTAACCCATAGTTAGGGGGAATAGACAGAATATTTCTCAATGCTATTTGCGCGTAAGTGAACGTACGAACCCGACTGGAGTTCGAACTCGGCTCTCCGATTTCTCATTCAGAGCCGCTATCCATTTGCACCACCCGCACATACTCGAAAGGGAAAAAGAGAAAAAAATGACAAGAAAGAAAGAAAACAGCGAGTTGAGAGAGAAAGATAGAGAGAGAGAGTGAGAAAGAGAGAGAGAGTGAGAAAGAGAGAGAGAGTCAAAGAAAGAGAGAGAGAGAGAGTCAAAGAGAGAGAGAGAGAGAGAGAAGAGTTATTGCAAAGAATTGAAGAGATGAGGTCATGCTGTATAAAGAACGCCAAGGAAACTGGAGTAGACAGAAAAAAAACGGTCGAAAAGAGAAATGCCTTTTCTTTCAAGGTCTTTGAAGTAACGAGCTTAGATAACCCTTGGTTTAAATGTAGAAAAAAACAAACAAAACGCCGAACAGACAACCAATCCTTCATAACGTGATGCAACGCCTTCGGTAGAAACAAAAATGAACCTGTAGTGACCCAGACGATAAGGTTACAATAGCGTCTTTCATTCCAATATCTTAAATATTTTCGAAAGCTTCTCTCGAATACCATGAGGCAAACGAAACCCTTCCATAAATTAAACTCCATTTCGCAATAATAATAAAAATTTCTTATTGACATGGCAGTTTCTGCTGATCGTAATGTATCTTTGAAGATCTTAAAAAACCTATCAAAATACAAGAATCTTGAAATGGAAATCTCAAAAATGATGCCACGTGAGAACATCCATAATTCGAGTTGTAGTTGGAGCACTCGGATTGATTGGAAGAGGTCCCGATAGACTAATTGAAGGGGTTCCTGGTAGCCCATGCCTTAAAGAAATACAGAAAATTGTACTCACACATTACGAAGAGCTTTATCTATGTAAAATTTGTGTGATTTTTTTTTTGATTTTTTTTTTTTACAAAAATGATCAGTGGAAAATATCATGAAGCCATTTATGACCTTGGGTCTCTAGTTGGGACCCGGAAGGAAATGTGTATACAAAAGAAATCAAAGGAAATAATAATAATAATAATAATTCAGAAACAATTGATCATCTTGTATCGGTTGCAAGTTTTTGGCACCACTAAATATAAAACCCGGCATGACAGAGTGGGCCAATATCTGCACTGGAAAATCTGCAACTTCTACGGGAAGGAAACTGAAAGAAAATGGTATGAACTCCACCCAGACCCGTTTACGGAGATAAGACCTGTTACAATTTTATGGGACTACAAAATACACATAGACAGTTTACAGTCGAATTGGCTAGATGCAACCGTAACTTCTGTCGGGTTACCTCCTCCTAATTTTCGAAATCGCTACTAAAGGACGCTTTCCGGTCTATAAATACTCGGCGATATCTTTTCTCGCCCTCTTTTTCTCATTTTTCCGCATAAACGTAAGCATGTATATTTCTCGTGGAAGAACGCGTTCCCTTTTTGGGATACGCATGAACAATACACTCACACACGTACTTACGCATTTTTCACTTCATTTTTTTTCTAGAACATTTCCTTCACCAATCTACACATACACAAACAATTCACTAGCTTAGTTTTTTTCTCCATTAATGTTCATTTTTCAGTAACACACAACAGTGTTCCATTGTATATGTAACCCTTTATTTTGAATATATTAAAATTTGTTTGTACACATATATATTGATCCTTGTTGTTTCTTACATTTTTTTAGGTGGACTCAACTCAGAGTCTGCCATGTTGGTTGTGGGTAATTCAGGAGACACGCGTACACCGGTCCGTAATATTTCTATGCTAACAGTCTCTTTTCTTGCTCTTCCCACTTTTGAGGCTCCCTTCCGGTCCTATGCTTTTCAACCAACTTTGATCTCCAAAAACTGAAATGCAATGTCAATCGTTATCTACTATCTTCCTGTTGTTCTCGTTCCTTAGTAATGTTTCTGTTTTCAAATTCTTTTACACCCAGTAACCTCTTATGTGTTAGTGGCT